GAAAGTGAAATGGAAAAAAAACGACTATAGTTTCAACCAAGTTGCACTGTAGTTGCCATCCTACTTTTTGTGGTTACGTGAGTACAGTTCGGCTGACGATCACAACAAACATGTATGCTTACATTGGAATGAGATGACAAGGGAGTGAAAGTTCCAAGTGGATGGAATGTGTATGAGTGTTTAAATAGGCTTGAGGTGAACACGTGAATGGCACGTCAGCAAACTTTGGGAACCACCGGGCACCAGCGTACCCTGCGGCTCCGTTGGGGTAAACGGTGTCTGCGTGTGATCCTTGTGTGTTAACATATTCCAGTAATGTCATTTACTATTCCGCATCGAGTATTCGTCAATGTGATTATAGCTTGTAAGTAGACAGAAACATCAACGTACATTTTATTTACTCCACAGTATACAAAAAGTACATGTGGTGATTATAAACTACATTGTACAACACTGCCACGTGTTTCGTGCTTAAGTGTATGGCATACGCTCATTCAGGAACACTTTTATATTTTGAGGGACAGTGAAGCCTCCCGCACGAGCGCACACACACACACACACACACACACACACACACACACACACACACACACACACACACACACACACACACACACACACACACACACACACACACACACACACACGCATACGCACACGCACACGCACACGCACACGCACACGCACACGCACACACACACGCACACACACACTCAAATGCACACGCACACGCGCACGGACACGGACATGCACACGCACACATACACACACACACACACAAACACACACACACAAACACACACACACACACACTCAAATGCACACGCACACGCGCACGGACACACATATACACACATACACACACACACACACACACACACACACACACACACACACACACACACACACACACACACACACACACACACACACACACACACACACACACACACACAAACACAAACACACGCATACGCACACGCACACGCACACACACACACTTACGCACAGAGAGAGAGAGAGAGAGAGAGAGAGAGAGAGAGAGAGAGAGAGAGAGAGAGAGAGAGAGAGAGAGAGAGAGAGAGAGAGAGAGAGAGAGAGAGAGAGAGAGAGAGAGAGAGAATTCTCCAGAACCATTACAAAAGACGCCTATTATTGATTAGCTGATAATTGTAAATCATCCAAGTGACTGAGTCATCCAAAAGCATAATGAAAGATCGACATTGAAACAATTCATCCCACCAAAAAAGAAAAAAAAATCAGACACACATTGAAATAAAAAAAAACAATAAGACATGAAGATAAAAGAATAAATAAACAAATAAATAAATAAATAAATAAAAAATAAGAATATAAGCTCGTAGTGCAACTGACGTTTTATTGTTTACACTGGACGAGCAGAAGCGGCGTCTAAGTGAGTGGTCAATTGACTCTTATTGATTGATAAACTTGAAACTGGGTGACATTTTAGAGGGTTTAACAGGCAGAGTAGTGTGTTTGTACAAATTTAAGTGATTCTCGTCATTCAAATGTGTGGTGATTATTTGATATGCTTATATGTGTGGATGTTATTGGTGTATCTTGTGTTTTAAAGAGCTCCCCTCCCTACTGTTCATCAGGATTTTCTATATTTTCCTCCTCGACTCTATATTCCTCGTGTTTCTTTCCATTCTTTAAGTTCATCTTCATCTTTCTCTCCAAAGTTTGTTGTTCTTATTCCTCTTACTTGACCTTTTCTTCCTAATTTTATTTCCTCCTCCTGATCCTCCTCTTGTTCCTCCTCTTCCTTTTCCTCCTCCTCCTCCTCTCCCTTATCCTCATTCTCCTCCTCTTCATTACCATCTGCCTCCTCCTCCTCCTCCTCCTCCTCTTTACCGTGTGCCTCCTCCTCTTCCTTATCCTCCTCCTCTCCCTCCTCTTTATCCTCTGCCTTCTCTGCCTCATCCTTCTTATCCTCTGCCTCCTCCTCCTCCTGTACTTTCTCCTTTTCCTCCTCCTTCTCCTTTTCCTCCTCCTCCTCCTCCTTTTCCTCTTTGTCCTCCTCTTCCTCTTCTTCTTCCTCTACTTATTCCTTGTCCTTATCCTCATCCTTCTCTTTGTCATTTTTCTTCTCTTCCTTATCCTCCTTATCCTCATCCTCCTTCTTATCCTTTTCCTCCTCCTCCATATACCCCACCTTATACTCATCCTCCTTTATATCTTTCTCCTCCTTCTCCACCCCTTCCTCTTCTTCCTTATCCTCCTCCTTCTTTTCCTCCTCTCTCTCCTTCTTTTCCTCTTCCTCCTCTTTCTCATTATTGTCCTTATCCTCCTCCTCCTTATCCTCTTCCTTATCATCCCCCTCCTTATCCTCTTTATCATCCTCCTTCTCTTTCTCCTTATCCTCCTCCTACTCTTCATCCTCCTATTCCTTTTCCTCTTACTGTTACTCCTTGTACTCATCCTCCTTATCCTCATTCTCATCCTTATCATTCTTCTTCTTCCTTATCCTTCTTCCTCTTCCTCTTACTCCTCCTCCTTATACTCATCCTCCTCCTTATCCTCATTCTCATCCTTATCCTTCTCCCCTTCCCTTTCCTCTTCTCCCCCTCTCCTCCATCACATCCATATCCACATACTTCTACTCTGCATACTCTTCTTTATCCTCCCCCTCCCCCTCCCCCTCCTGCATCTCCTCCTCCTCTTCCTTGTCTTCCTACTTGTCCTCCTCTTCCCTTTCCTCTTCTTTATTGTCCTCTCCTCTCCTCATCTCCTCTTCCTCCACATTCTTCCTTCCTTTTTTTCATATCCTCATCTTTTTGCACTGTATTTTTTAGGCAGAAACTGTGTTCTTATTGATATTGTTGAACACTAGGCAATTTAAATTACATATCTGTAAGGGCATCTGGAAGTTGTGGCTTTGCAGAATTTTTTATTTTGTTTGAGTAAGATGAATGCTTTTCAGATATTAAAAATGACTTAGAAAATTCTAAAAAAAAAAAAAAAAAATACCAAAGTTAGGGTATTGTAGAGTTGATCTTTGCATTGGGTAACTGTGGACATCAAAATTAAGGAGATCTCCATTTCTATATTAAATATTGATCTTTTTCTTCAAAGGATGTGATGTAAAAGGCTTATACACTGATTGGTTTGAAAATACAAACTCCTTCACACACAAGGGTTAGGACATCACCATCTTCTGAAAAATTATGTGTGGAAGGTAGAAGCTGTCACTCCAAGTGGATGTCCTTCACTGGTCCCCGGGAGTGCACGTTACATGTACACCATCAGACACCCATATTCTAGTTTACAAACCTGAGTGCAGACTACACCAGTCATATTGTAGAACTCAAACCCAAGCCAACATCACTCCTACATAGTCACTGTGTGCTAAATTTGCCCAAAAGCCCCTTCCTTAACTGAAAAGCTGATAAGTCCATATACTATTTTCATGTTGCTGTCCATCTGTTCAAGTGTTCACAGTTTATGATCAGACCTGTTCTTTTGCAAAAGGAGGTCCAAAATTGTGACCACAGAATTGGATTGATTTTAAAAGGACTTTACAAAATGTTAAACATGTATCACATTCTTGTAATAATCAGTGATAACTTTAAGATGAAGCCTAGTCTTTATTGTTTTGAATTAGCATATATAAACTAAACAGAAACAAATGACACCAAACACAGAGCACATTAGAACGTAAACTACAATTTGCGTAAGCTAGATTTATCCTATATTATTGTGCCTTTGACAAAGCTCTATAAGTAGTGGTAATATTGATAACACCCATAATATATGCTACATTACCTGTATAATATGAATTTTTAAAGCACAGAATGGTGAATGTAATACACTTCTGATCACTCACCATTTAACATCTGTATATGCCACAGAAGTTAATACCATATTTAAATTTATTTCAGGACTCAAGTGCAATGACAGTGTCTAAGACCAAATTTTGATGAACTTCTATAGTAGCATTAATTTGTAAATAAGGATATGTTGTCAAGTTGCTATTAACCCATTCGCGCGGGGTAAAAAAGGAAAAAAAATGGGGGAAATGCTGTGCTCATTTTTTATATTTTTTTTATGAAATTTCTCTACAATAGATGACGGGAAAATGTATTTTTACTAGTGTTATGAATATCGATGGTTATTTTTATTATAAACATTGTAATTACTATAATGTTATAAACATTAGTAACAGCAAAATAAGATAACACAAAATAATTTCATAAATTAAAGAAAAGGGTAAACAGGCAAAACAGGCAGTACAAGTACAAGTGTAGCCATCTATGTATAAAAACAATTAAACAAGTAAACTCACAGAGAGCCTGTCATGTATACGTGATGCCCGGTATAAAATAATGCAGTAGAAAAGAAAACTTTTAATAACATCACTATTAGATTTCAGATTCAACGCACAAATTTCCTGATTCTTTTATATACAGTGTTTTCGAAATCACAAGGAAGTCTGTTATCAGGGTTCTTGCATGCAACATCCTGAAAAAAGCTACCCAACCCTTTGATCAGACCAGGGAAAGAGCTGTCAGAGAAAACTCTGCTTCAAATAAAAATTATTACTTCATCCTTTTTTGCCACCTTTTGTGAAATTGCCTTTAAAATTCAAAGGCTATTTGAAGCCATTTATATATTTTACTTGTACTGATACAGATATCTTTATGATTAGATAGCTACAGTAGACTATATGTATTTTTTTCATATTCTTTGGTAGCTTCAGCCCTTGGCTCAACCAATCTTACTTGGTCTTTTCTTCTACCGCTTTCCTTTTCCTTCTCTTCTCCAACCCCTTCTCATGTCCATTTCTTAAGATGTGAGAAAGGAGGTATTTCTTGTTCCCCAATTTCTGGCTCTCTTTTGATCATCACTCCAAACACTGCTAATACTACCCCCTCCTGTCAACTCAGTCCATTCCAAGTCACCCACCCAGGTCATTACCCAGTCTTCATCCCCCTTGCTCTCGTCCTCATGATTCTACTACACCCACCTCTACAGACCTTTTGAGTATGCTTTTTAGCTTTGTCCCCTAGCCTCACACTATCACTATATTTTGAATACACCCATAATGACCTTAAATGATGATGTGGCAGGAAATTTTCAATAAATAAATTCATTGATATTCTTGACCAGATTCAACCCTCCCTTAATACTTGTACCAGAACTGTCTTTTTCTCCCTGATAGATTTCCCTGTCTGCAATAAATATTGGTCAGACTATGAAAGCAACTTGCTCACCTGCCTAGTTCACTATGATGTAGTGTCAGTTCTTTACTATTCCCACAAGGAGGCTGCCATAAGTCCTCCACCAATAATATTAAAATTACTTTCCTCCCCTATGATATTTATTTTGCCAGAGAGACCTGCCCTGTCTGACCATATCAACCCCTCCCCCATCAGTGTCAGTGTTGGCATCTTAGCAACCCTGCCAAACATTGTTGCTCCACAACCTGCCCCTACCCCTTCCTCCCAAGATGTTTCTACATCTCCCCCAGTATCTCTTACTCCTACTCCTTATGTTCTCACTTCTACCCCCTCCCTCTCCAAGACAAGTTCTTTTATCTAAATCCAAATACTCTAATCTCTACTGCTTCTTCGATGCCTACCCCTCCTCCTCCTCACTCTACCTGTTATCAGTAATCTAAACCAGGGTTCTGCAAAGTACTGATTGTGACCCAGTACTGGGTCACAAGCTCATGTTCACCACATAATATATCTATATATCTGTGTTATGTGTGTGTGTTTTCTACCCACTTCTTCCTCTGCTCATCAGACATCTGTGTCCTCTTATCCCCCTCATAAGATGACCTCAGACTTCCCCAAGGATTTTAATCAAGGCCCCAAAAACAAGGCTATCCCTCATCCACGCTCAAATCCATTCCCTTTACACTCAAAGTGACTGCCAATATCAATCCTCCTCATACTCATGTCCACCCTTACCTTACCCCATGGACAGCCATAAGGAATCCCACTCTTTTTCCTTTGACAACTTGTTTTCCTTCCATACATATCCTTCATATGATCTAATTACCCTTACTTGTACAAAAAGGGCTTATATTAAGAGCTAGCAGCACATTACAGATTGAAAACACTAGTTGATTATAATGTATATATCTTTGTAAAATGACCCCAGAAAATATGTTACTTGACTTGCTTATATTTCTGAAATTACTATTGCTGAAGTATTTGGATTTGTTGTACAAGCTTACTTTCACATCACAGTGGCAGCATTATAACAGAATGATTAAGATACTTCACATTAAACCTTGCACAGGCTTGACCATGTTTTTCTCTTTTCTCTTGTCAGGTGGAATGCTCATTGCTTCAAAAGCTTGTGGAGAAATACCAAAGACATTATCCATTATTTCTGCAGCAATGATGCATATAAAGTGTAGAGGAGGATTTTATCCACGTTCTGAGGATAAGGTATGTAAATTTTTGTTCTGCAGGCAACCTAGATATGCTAAATACATTCAGTTAAGTGCAGACTGGCAAGTACATGTAATAGAAAATGCCAAAAGGGATACAAAAGATTTAATCTTTAATTGAGACATAAGAAAAGTGGAAATAGGTAAACAAACAGATCATCACCTTCCTTTCTTGAAAATACATATTTTTTTCAATTTGAGGGGTAGTCTCCATTTAGCCTACTTGAGAATAAGTAAATACAAATCCAGCTTTTATTATGCCTATTACTGCAGTGTATTATTTATAATTTCCATTACTTTTTGTTAGTAGTAGAATAATTACATACTGTTATCATTGTTTTAATTATTTTTTGTAATCATTGTTTGTTATGGTTGTTATTGTTATTATTACTGTTATTATTATTGTCCTTGCTGTTATCATCATATTTATTACTATTATAATTATTGTATCTATTACAATTTCTGTTATGTGCAGGTTATTTTCTATTTATATTAACAACTTTTATACTAAGATCAAATCATCACATACTGTTATATTTGTGCAGGTTCCCCGCTCTGAAGTGCCCGATAACAAGGTCAGCTGGACAGTTCCCTTTCCTGAATATGCACCAACTGAATATACAGCACCACACATTTTAGCTGGACCAGCATATGCAGACCCAAATATAGGGTAAGTCACGGGAGTTTCAGTCTGTATCATGTGGTAATAAAATTTGTTGACTTTAAAACATTTTCTCTTTCTTTCTTTTCCTTTCTTTTCCACAGAAGTGATGGCTTCAGACCTGTGTGGAATGCAGTAGATGGAACTATCAATAGGGTTTCTCATGAAGGAGTTTATGAATTTGATAATGGCAGACCAAGGTAATGGCTGTTTATGTCTTTTTCATTGATCAGATTCTTGTTATACTTTCATTATTATTAAAGTACCTTGACCTTGGTTGATGTTATAGTTGGTAGAAATTACACAAAGAAAAATGCAATTCTTGTTCACAGGAACCCTCGTGGCCGCACAGGAATCAGAGGGCGTGGGGCCCTGGGTCGCTGGGGTCCAAATCACGCCGCAGACCCTATTGTCACCCGGTGGAAAATGGATGCTGGCCAGAAGGTCATTCATGGTAAGTGCAGGATGATATAATCGTGAAAGGTTTTAACTTTGTGTGAAGACGTAATTTCTAAGAAATCCATGAATAATACTTACTGCTGGTTTTAATACCTGTGCATTCCTAGAGTAGCCTATAACTGCTAGTTTTCTCTCATCCAGATGCAGTTCCCTGCTTGCTGTAAAGGGGTTAATACACTAATGCATCTATTTACCCCTCCCCACAATGACCACACTATTTATTGAAGCAGCGGAGTCTAGCTTATAGGCCATCAGTGGGTATGTTGCAGTTACCACAATGTTAATGCATCATCTTGCCCCCCAAAGATGCATAAGTCCTATTTTTATTTGCTGTGATGCTAGCAGTGTTTCTACATGCTCCTACCAATGTTGTTGAAAGTGCAAACTGTATCTCCAATGAAATAATGCACATTTTTCTTGCTTTTTGGTGTGTTTTTTATTTTTGCCTGCCCCAAATATCTTGCATTAACCCAGTAGGTGTCTATGAAAAATAAACTCTCGAGCCCCAAAAATGCAACCTTTGGAGAAAAACAAAGCAGTTTCTGTACTTTATTAGCTTTTTTTCCATGATAATGCTAGGATTGCAGTCAGGCATGCAATTTGTATGAGGGAAAAAAATTGCTCTTGTTATGCTTTGACATTTGTGTGTTGGAAAAGCAATTCTTTAAAATTGTAACTTTGAACATTCTTGTAGAGTACAGTAAGTTTACAGTATTTTGAACACTGAAAACTAGTTTTGCCACAAAGGAAAGTAATTTTTGTCAGGTCCGTCTTATTTCAGCCATTATGCTTATCAGAGGTCACCTTTACTACAGGTTTTTGGTGTAACCAGCATGATATGGATGAAAAGGGAGGCTATAATTACCCTAAAAGGGGTTAATACACTAATGCATCTATTTACCCCTCCCCACAATGACCACACTATTTATTGAAGCAGCGGAGTCTAGCTTATAGGCCATCAGTGGGTATGTTGCAGTTACCACAATGTTAATGCTTTGTTTATTTTTGCCTGCCCCAAATATCTTGCATTAACCCAGTAGGTGTCTATGAAAAATAAAGATTATATAATAGTACACTTACACATACCAGAAAAAAAATATAGTCGGATAAATTTCAAGACTCTCGAGCCCCAAAAATGCAACCTTTGGAGAAAAACAAAGCAGTTTCTGTACTTTATTAGCTTTTTTTCCATGATAATGCTAGGATTGCAGTCAGGCATGCAATTTGTATGAGGGAAAAAAATTGCTCTTGTTATGCTTTGACATTTGTGTGTTGGAAAAGCAATTCTTTAAAATTGTAACTTTGAACATTCTTGTAGAGTACAGTAAGTTTACAGTATTTTGAACACTGAAAACTAGTTTTGCCACAAAGGAAAGTAATTTTTGTCAGGTCCGTCTTATTTCAGCCATTATGCTTATCAGAGGTCACCTTTACTACAGGTTTTTGGTGTAACCAGCATGATATGGATGAAAAGGGAGGCTATAATTACCCTAAAAGGGGTTAATAACATACAGTGATGTATATACTCAGAGTTTTTTAAGCTTTTGTAGATCTTTATAGTAATTTTGGTAGCATGTAAAACTGTACTTTTAAGATTGTTATCATTCAGGAAAAAAGATAGATGATTACATCTAGCTATCTGTAAATAGATGGGTAGATATAGATATAGATACAGATTAGATAAGTTTAGATATTCATCGTAACTATGTGTATGTGTATGTAAATACGTACACATTTGTATATATATGGAAGTATGGAGATGCAGTTTTTTATTGAGAATTAAGATTAAATGGAAGATGAATTAGGTGGGAAGATTATAATCTACTTTTGTAATGTTCATATTAATATTATCAATAATAATAATATTAATATTAATACCCTTCTTTAAGACTACCTCATTCTGATAAATTTATTCATACATCAGCGAGTTAAGGTAGGTGTATTTACAAGCTCCAAATATTTATTCACTTCAGATGCGAGCAAAAATCCAATACTGCAGTTTGTTTGCATCAAACGTCGGGACAGTGGCCAGTGGGCTATCCCTGGGGGAATGGTTGATCCTGGGGAGAAGGTCAGTGTTACTCTGCAGAGGGAATTCCAGGAAGAAGCTCTCAATTTCTTGGAGATGACATCAGAACAGAAGTCAAAGGCAACAGAAGAACTGAAGGAGCTTTTCAGTGGAGGTAAGAAGAGTTTTAGTTTTGTTTATGTGCGTCTGTCAAATTTTTCCCCTGGAAGCTTTTTAGCATATGTTAAGTGAACTTCTTTTATACAGGTATTATATACTGTATCTGACCCACATTCAATATTTTACTGGTACTGTTTGTGACATCATTTGACATCATTTGAACAGAATGAGGTTAATTACATGATTTTTAAAGTTTCTCAGTACAATCCCTTTTTTCTCTGAGTTGTAAATCATATCATTTTAGGTAAAGAGATTTATTCTGGATATGTGGATGACCCACGCAACACTGACAATGCCTGGATGGAGACCGTGGCATACAACTTTCATGACAGCAAACCAGATGCATTGCTTTACAAACTCCAGTTACATGCTGGTGATGATGCCCAGGCTGTGAAGTGGCAAGACATTTCACATAAATTAGATCTGTATGCAAGCCACAGAGACTTCATTGAAACTGTGGCTAAGAAACACAGGGCTCATTGGTAGACTGCAGGTAAGGCTCTGGGAAGGATAGTATGGAGATTTTACTTTAAATATCTTGATAATAAAGAATTATTCATTGATTCCACACAAGTTGAAGATTGTGTTGTCATGCAGGTGTTTCCATGTAGTGTACATTGCATACCAATTCGGGTAAGGAATAGAAGCATAAAACTAGAAATATTAATGATGTACTGTATGCAATTTTACATTTTGATTTTTAAGAAATAATGGCTTTAGTAATATTTTCCATTAATTGCTATTTGTTCCAGATTACTGGATTGCACAAGTGGAAGTCATACTTCACTTTATTTTTTTATCACTTTTTCTCATTGGATAAGATATCCACTTTTGTGTTTGAGATACAGTACAAAGATAATTTGTGCACAGGTAGTAATAAATAACAATAAACTGGTTTATCATTATTATTATTATTATTATTATTATATCCTCATCGGGAATATAACGAGATTTTGAAGATTACATATCTTGTGCCTGTGAAGACAAAGCTACAATAAAAATATAAATTGTCCCTGGCTACAAAATGACTAAATATCCAAATCAGATATTCCTAGAACACAGATAATGATAAAAACAAAGTATAAAATGGTAATAAATTCTGAACTAGAACATTAACAAAAAATGGAATGTTCAAGGCCCCATTTAAGACTGAACTAGACTGAACTTACAAGACCCAACAATAAAATACTGGCTAATATGGTTATGTGTAGAATATTTACTGTGGGCCCTATCCCTATTGGATAAGAGCTTAAGTACTTTGTAAAAATATATATACACATGAGAATGTACTATTCAAAAACTAATAAAATGAAAAACAAAAACAAAAAAATAGTTTCAATGAAAGCAACTGATGAAATTTCTGAACTTTCATTATTTCCCTCATATCTAATACAATATTTGATTGCACAATTTTAAGTTGTAACACATAAACTGCACTACATGTACAGTACAACCTAAATATACACAAAACATATCTCAATCAAACTCCATATTTCAGTTGCCATGTGAAAATCTACATACATTCCAGGTGTATGTTTAATGGAGAAAACCCACAAACCTTTGTGACATCATAAGAGCATTCATAATGCAGGTCCAAGTCTCAAGCAAACTCACAAGAACATAATCAGCAGAGGAGGACTTTTCCTAATCCTACTATGACTTGTGCTGCTTGTCCCCCCTTCACTCTTCTATTTATGCTATGTATGGTGAAAAAATATAGCTGTACAGAATATGGACTACAACTGGAAGGAGAGAGGCTAGGGTGTTATTAGAAGACTTGAGATTTCTTGATTTACTTACTCAAGCCACTGCAGCAAAGCTTATCCAAGCTAATACTTCACAAACTTGTACTGCCTGTGGCAAGATATTAAATAATGGTGATATAGTGGGACTTACTATTTAAAGTACAAACAGAATACTTCATGAAAAGCATTCTAATCTCATTAGTTTCAGATCTTATAGCTTCACTTTTAACATCATTACCTAAATACTAAGTAAATATTCATCTATGTCAAGAAGACGTAGACTTATGGATCTGGAAATGAAGAGAAAAAAGTAAAAACCAAGACAAGTTTATCACAGAGTTAATCTTCTATGATAAACTGATAATAAAAATAGGGGGAAGCCATCATTACACAATCAATACCATGATCACATTTTGCACATGGATGCTACTACCTAATTCCTGTACTAATATTGAAAAGAAATTAAAGCTCTGAATATGTGACTTTAAAAGAAGAACTACATGTCCAAGCATATATGTTACATATGCAACATTAAGTCTGCATGCAGACAGACAAAAACTGAACAACACAGTCAAACATATATGCAGGCACAGACACAACAGCATGCTTACACTCACACACATGCAGTCACACATTTCCACATCTGCAGAATCAAACACGCTGAATGTATAAAATACTTACATCTAAGGCTATGACATCTAACAATGTACACTAGCTTCTAATGACAATTTTGCCTTTTTCTGGATTATCTTTAAAATGGACACTAATGCTTCTATTGTAACCAACGCTAGAACACATGTAACTTTTGACAGCTGAAGAAAGGCACTGATCTCAACTCACATAACTTCAGCATAAGTTCCACATCCATATAAAAAATATGATGTAAAAAGAAGGAAAAGCAGTAGTAATGATTTCAATTATATCTGTTAAAAAAAAATAATAAATGAATAAAAAATATTAATTATTTAAAAAAAAACATATCACACTTACAACTGGTATCTTAATAAAAAGAAATAGTGAGATGGAGAGAGTGGACATATTTAAGAAGAATTATATTTTCCATCACAAAATGTTCTTGGAAGCTGTTTCCTGAATCATGAAACTTGCAATATAATCATATATTCAATTAACATTTCTGTAAAACATTCTACCTCTTACAAAACTGTTACAAAAAACAATAACCATAATAATTATTTAAAAATTCATATTACACTTACAACTGGTATCATAATTAAAAGTAGTAGTAAGCTGGTGAGAATGGACATATCAAAGAAAAATCATGTTTTTCATCATGAAATGTTCTTTAAAGCTGTTTCTTGAATCATCAAACTTGCAATATAATCATACATTCAAACAAATATTTCTATAAAACATTCTACCTCTTATAAACAACTGTATTTGTAGATTTTGCTGATACTTTAAGTGTATTTGCCCTCTTCTAATTACAATTGTCACTGATCAGTATAAGTTACATACATTTTACATTACAATTAAGGCTAAACACTTATCCTCTTATTATACACCACAAGCATCAATGCTAGGCCTAGCTAGGAATGATACATAAATAACTTAATCTCTCCCTTATTCAATTGCACTAACCTTTCACTTACTGTAGACCTAAACGACACATATTGCCTCTTTTCCTTGTACAACACAACACAGATTTATACAAGGAAAGCCATACTTGATCATGGATAGACCTATCCAACTTAAATGCAGTGCCAAAGTGAATGATGCATGGAACTTGCTAAGATTAAAATGCCAACACATCTTTTCAACATTACTACTTACTGCCACTTATGAACCTACTGTGACTGAGGGCAGGGAGGGAGAAAGCGAAAGAAAGAAAGAAAGAGAAAGAGAGACACACAGACAGAATGTGTGCGTGTATGTACCTCCATGTCTACATGTGTGTGTGTGTTAGTGCATGTACATGTGTATGTCTGTCTCAAATTGATAGTATATATATAGGCAAACATGTGAATACTCATGTATACAGTATGTGTAATGGGTAAGCAACGTCAATGAATCTAAGTTGTCATTTCTAAGCCCTCACCACAACAGCCATAAGGAATATACTCCCTAAGTTCACAAGGTTTAACCTGACTAAGAAAACAGGCAAAAATACCAATACCTTGGCAAGGGAAGACCATCGCAAATGACAGAAAAAAATACAAACAGAAACTCAATATACTTTCACAAGATCAAGAGAGGGTAACATTCTTTCCACTCTCCTTTTCTTTCCCTAAGGCAAGACCTGCTGGAATGTTCACTACACAAAGAATAGAAAAAAATAAAATAAAATAGAAAACTTAAACAAATAAAATGAAAAAAAATTAAAATAAAAAATATATTACTGTATAACTTTTTTTACTTCCAATACACCCCTAAGATCAGCATTCTTATCACAATTCCTTGATTAATACTGGACTTTTCAGCAATTATTTTCTATAATAAACACCCCCATACAATTTCTCAGGCAAGTGGCCGATCATTACTGTACTTAGTAACTTACCCCTAAAACACACAGCCAAACTTGGAATAATCTTCCGACTGCAAGTCTTGCACCCCTGCAGAAAACCCAATGTGCAAAGTATGCATAAAAATCATTTATATTTTTCAGAGGGATAATCACAGCTTTGAAATGGCAGACCAAAAAGTATGCAATTTCCAAGCATTATTTACACCATTCCCAAGTGTTCAGTAATGTTTTCCAGCATACCCAAATTTATACTGTGCACAACCAAAGTTTACTGTCAAATGCTATGAATACAGAACTTATCTAGAAGAATCTTTAGCCTAACCTTATTAAGTACCTACAACATAGGGCTCTTGCCTTGGGCCTTGTGACCAGATCAGCACAAGCATATTGGTGTAATATAACAGAGGCCTACATCACAAATCGAAGAGAGCAAAAAGAATCTCAAAGATAGTCATAAACATAATTCAAATCAGAATAGAAACATAAAAACAATCAAAATAATGACAAAAACTACAAAATAATGACAAAGTAATTCATAAAACAACAAAGTGTTTAACAAGGACATTAACAACACTGCACCTAATTCATTAGAAATACCAGTAGTTGGTTATACTGTCTTTTCCTCATAAAAAGTAAACAGAAAAAGAGAAATACAAGTAGCTGCTCATACTGTCTTTTCTACATGTAAGGATAACAGAAAAAAAGAAAGAAAGAGGAAATAATATGAACTGGCACCATATCACAGGGGACTTCAAATCCTAGACATTGGATATCACGCATACTTCTGTTCACCCAGTTCCCACAGTAACTTTCCTGAGATTCATACAAATACCAAATGTTCAGCAATGTATAAAAATTACAATATCAAATATTTGGGAATATCCAAAGACAGCACTATTAACTTTGGAATTACATACTAATGATCACAGCGAGATCATCTATTATCAATATTTCTTTTTCTTTTAATTTCAGATATATTTAGACCCTTGGCTGCTACAAAGAGCAATAGTTTGTTTGTTTGTTAAAGTGCATATCAGTAGCAGAGTCTTTGTCAGAAAGGGTGCAGTTATGCAATTTGTTTTCTGCTCTTTAAGTTTTCTACATCTTTTGGATTCTCTTCAATCTTTCTCTTCTTTTGCACAAACAATAATTACTGACAGAGCAAGTACACAAGTCTCTGTTGTTTGTGGCAAACTAGTTCCGAAAAACAGGCACCAGGGACATCTGCCAGTCATAAACCTCAGCCACATTAATAAGTGACCAATCCCAAGGATTTCAAGCACCATGTGATAATCCCTCAAAACTTCAACATTCTAATCTACACACTGCTTATAGCATCCAAACCTTATAACTAAAAAAAACTATGTGATAGGACAATCAGGCCTGGCTGTACAGAGGACAAACAATGCATTATTTACAACTGCACCTGCAGTTGGATGTGTCAGAGATTAAAATACTGATTGGATGATTTTCATAGGGGCAAATTAAATAGTTCTTACTTTTTAGGATGCATACATACATTACCGTAAATATTCCTGCTAATTGCCAGCCTTACAATGTTTGCAGCTATGAAGCTTACACATTTGCAAAGTAATTCATGCTGAAAATCATTAGAAAGCACTGCTCTTCAAGTGGACTGATTCTGAAATTACTCACTAGCTTCTACTGCAAATGTGTAAAAACAGATAAATATTACTCTATGATACCAATTTACAAATGAATGCAATGATCATGCATTCACTAGCACAACATTTTTCAAACATTTTTCCTTTTTTGATATTTCAAATAATCTTATACTTCTATACACCCTTTTACATTTATTCTTTTAACTGTGCCAAACAATCCTGAAAAAATGTGAAAAGCTTGACTACAAAAGAGCACACAACTGATTTTATGCTTTGTTCAACTAATTATCAGCTATGGAAGGCTAAGAACAATAACTGCTGCCAACTTGTGATATAAGGAATTAATCACAAACACTACACCACACTATATTCAACACAGTGCACTCTCTATGATCCATGAATCAACTACGACCACTGCAGTAACAATTGCACAATCATTTTTTACTCCCAAAAATCCTACCATGTTTTTAAGTCTGCCAAAGATGTTGAATTTTGTAATTTGGTTCCACATGATAGTACTTTTCTATTAGCATTACCTAATGGACTAATGGACATCATAAAATATTTATCAAAGAAATCTGATTACATAATCTTATTGTAAATTTAAGATACTATTCGAGTAACAAATCATATAAAAAAATAAGTACAATATCTTCTATTATGCTTTAGTCACATAAGCATATCAATCATAACCCGACTTCTCATCCTCTAGAAGTTACTATGTTCCTAAAGGCTGTAACCTGAAAAATAAGCCTACCAAGTTATTTCATTTTCACCTAGGAACTTTTAAGTATCTAAAAGGAATTTCTAAAACCTTTGGCACACTCTTTAGCAGACACTTCTGACAAAACTATCACACTAACTGGACACTTTTTTTGACCTTATCCTTCACACTAAAAATAAAATTACTCCCACTGTCAGATCTTCCTCCATAAAAAGATACCAGAGAGTGCACTGTAATTAATTTGCAACGTATTCCTGATATTGCATTCTTAATTATCACCAAGCAAAAAGTTTTCCATTCATAAAAATGAAAAAAATATAGCCTAAACTTCCTTGGGAAAATGCTAAAAGCATTTATTGTGCTGCGAAGTATCAAGAGAATCTTGAGCAATATAAACAAGAATATGGTTTATATCTAGTGGAATGGACTGGAGATCATAGGTTACCAATTTCTTGAGTTATTTCTAAAAAACAAATATTAATTTTCAAAATTTGTGCTTTGAAAAACATGTGCATAACAATACTGCTTAATTGGCACACGTATCAATTAATTGGCCACAAGAATTCTGAACAACATTGATTTACCTAATCACCTAGAAATCTGCCACATGTTCAAGCATGTGAGTTCTGGCAAGACAGATGTTTGCTCATAGAGATGAGCATGGATGACAGTTATACCACCGAAGGAGGTACATTATAGTTCTAATCAATAAACTCAAGATGGGGGGCATAGTGCTCATACTGGAATGATGGATACAAAGAGAAGAGAAGATGTGGTGTAACATCATCATTGAGCAGGCTTTGTAGGTTGCCCTCCAGCTCTTGGAAAGTAGGTCGCTCGTCACGGTCCATCTGCCAGCAATTCAGCATCAGCTGATAGAGCTCATCACCAACATATTGAGGCTGAGGTAGTCGCAAGCCTCGTAGAACCCTGCCAGGAACCTCATCAGTCTTTACATCTGCATAGGGTGTCCCCCCCAGTGTGGCCACTTCCCACATCAAGCAACCAAATGACCAAACATCACTCTTAGGAACAGACACCTTGGACCGGAGTGTTTCCTCAGCGTGCCAGCGTTTATACTCAGGTACATACAAGTCATTATGATAGTGGAGGAGTCCAAACCCAGTGACCTTTGGACGTATGCTATCTATCAACACAACATTCCTGGCACAGAGCTGACCATGGGTAACGT